AAAACTTTTTGCTCTAGAGAAAAAAAAATCTTAAAGGTCATGCGATAATATCTTTTATTCTTTTTTTCGTTCATTTTTTCTAAATAATGTTTATCAAATTCTTTTTTTTGTCTTATGCTTAGGAAGTATAATAACCGATGTCATTGCTTAGTAGCAGTTTTTCTTTTCATTCTTAGTCTTTACTAAGCTACAACATAAAACTTATTTTCACTTGATATATAATTATCTAATCAGTTCTTATTTTAATCCCTCAATGATTTATTTGATTAACATCAAAGAAATGGCACAATGAATATTATTATCAGACAAGACATACTTTTATTATTATTATACCTAAGTAATATACATCATATAAATTTCGAAAACATGATAATGTGCGTGTTCACAATTAATGAAATGTTATTAGTTTTCTTTAATTTTTGTCTACACCTATAGGGAACTCATATGCTTTATAAAATAAAACATGATTCTTTTTTATACCGAAATATATTATCTGTACCATTATTGTATTATCATCTTGGCAAGATTTGGTTTAAAATATAATTTTTTTATTACTTATATATTATGATTTGTTTGCTTTTCTTTTCGATCGAATCAATCCTGGTAGTAAGCCCTTCTGTTTTCTTTACATTCATCAAAATAGGTTATGAGTAATGTTTCGTAATGACAAGTACAAATAACCTTCATTAACTAGAATTGTCTCATATTCGTATTCATTGTTTCTTTTTATGATAAATAGAAATAGAAAAGCGTAGAACAATGTCAATTACTTGTATTGGGATTTTTCTTCTTTGAAGGATAGTAAAGGTGAGACCATATGTATTTTTTTCATTAAAATTTAAGGTTAAAATATGCTATTTTTGACTATCTTGTTATAAATTATATTGAAGAAAAATAATGAAGATCGATAGGCTCAATAAAAGAATAAAATATTAGACAAGCCTTTTTTTCTTCATTTTCTTTTCTTGTTCTTTTCTTTCTCTGGTTTTCTTCTTCTTCTCCTTGTTCTTCTATCTTCTTTTCAACACATCGCAATCAATAGTGGATATTAGACGGATGCGCATCGGTAAGACGAGTTTCACATACTAATAATTTTAATAATACACGGCATCGCTTTGTTTGACAGAAAAAAAATTATCCGAAAAAAGCTTTTGCATATACTAACAATGAGGTATACGAAGAAAAAGACATATAATATGAGCGTTGCTTCTTTTTTTTTTCTTTAGTAAGTATTGTTAAGAAGACCATTTTGTTTTAGATAATATATAACGAAAACAAGTAAAATGATTTTGCATACAAATGTATATGATACGTTTTTTCTGTTAAATTAATCTCGGGAGAAATAAAACAGTCAAAGCAATTTATGAAATTATGTTACATAAATACATTTATGTTATTTTTGTTTGAAAATAGCTAAACCAATCTTTAGAATATAAATCTAATCAAATGATCTAGTTAATTTCATGGGACCCTCCCCGGGCATAATGCTGTTGTGCTAACAGCATATAAATAAAATGTCATTTGTTTCCTCTTTGCTTCTCATAATATTCCTATATTTATGTTTTTCTTGTAGAAAATAAGTTTATGTTGAAGATCAATAATCGAACAATATTGAATAGATAATAATGGATTTAAAAAATTCAACATTTACTATAGCATGCAATGCATCACCGCCTGGAACAATTTATATGGAATCACCACCGCCTTTCCCACCATCTTATCTTCAAGCAACAGCACTTATTGTCTACACTTTATTGAGTATACTTACTGTTGGTGGAAATGCTCTTGTTTGTCTTATTGTGTTTCATTTTATGGGTGTTATTACGGTGACAAATTTATTTATCGCTAATTTAGCTCTAACAGACCTTTTCATCGGTCTTTTTTGTATTCCAATCGTACTTGTATCAGATTATCTTTTATCTGATTGGCCTTTTGGAACATTTATGTGTAAATTTACATCATTTGCACAATCTGTGTTTGTTGTTTGTACAGTTTATACATTGATAGCAATGTCAGTCGATCGTTATATAGCTATAATTCATCCATTAAATGAAAAGCTAACACGGAAACAATGTCGTTTATTAATTGGTTTACTTTGGACATTTTCAATATTATTCAGTTCACCAATATTTATTGATATGAATATAAATCATGCGTGTTTTCATCTTGATTCAGATAATAGAACAGAATATTCACAAACAATGTGTGAAACTATCGATCTTCCACAATCACTTCAAACAGCTTATAATGTTGCAACGATTACTATCATTTATTTAATTCCACTATGCGTATTAACAATAATTTATATACGTCTTGGTTGGCGATTACATCAAAGTCGTGCACCAGGTGAAGCACATTCACAACGTGATGCTAAAATAAAAAAGTCTAAACAAAAAGTCATTAAAATGTGCTTTGTTGTTGTTATTATGTTTGGTGTATGTTGGTTTCCAATGCAATTATATACAAATATATTGCGTCCATATCTTGATGAAATTTTCCATCAAGACTACGTCCCACATGTTTATTTTGCTTTTCATCTTATGGCTATGAGTAATTCATGTGTTAATCCCGCTATATATGGTGTTATGTCGTCAAACTTTCGTGCTGGTTATTTACATTATTGGCAAAATTTAATAACATGTTGTGGTGTATTTAATGGTCGTATTAGACAAAAGAAAAGTCACATGGAAAATATATCAATGGCAGCAACATTCCAATTGAGTCCTCGAGCATATGAATTAAGTACGAAAGCCCATGATATTGAGTGTGATCGAACAAGTAATGCATCAATACCTTGTTCAATTCCATTTATATCATCGCAAAGAGTATCATCGGATGACTAAATATTCATTTACTTATGTAAAAAATTGTAGGATATAATAAAATATATTTTTGCTTCTTGATTAATTGTTATTGTTGTAATTGTTTTCTTGTATGAAATAATTTTATGCTTGTGAACAGCATAAACTAACAAACACTAGTTAAAAATCTTTCGATTTATATTTTCAGAAAAATCTATAAAAAATATTTTTCAATATTTATTAAACGATATTGTAGCACGATACAAATTTATTTTTGAACACAAAGAACTTAAATTTGTCATCTTCATTGTAATGTCTTTTTTAAACACTTCAGAGAACGAAGAACTTAAAAAAGAAAAATAGAAAACAGTATTCATTAATTCATTTTTATAGACTCTAATGAGAAATGAGAAAATCTAATTTTATTCATTAGATTAATACAGAAAAAAATTGATTTTTCCTAAAGATCAATAGCTTTAATAATGTTTCTGATGAAATATTATTCGATAGTTTATTTTCACATGTAAAATACTTTCAAGCCAATAAAAACAATGACTAGAGACTTATTTCATACGTCACTTATGTAATATAATAGAATCAGCTGTATTACATCAAAATAATAGAATACTATTTGATTACCAAATTAATTCTTATGAATATATTTGACACTATGTGTGTCAGAATCAAGATGTCGACATTTTTATTAACTAGAAACTAGTTAATAAAGATTTTATCACTAATTTAATTAAAAAAAAAACATGTTTATTAGTTTATAGTTAATTATTCAATACAAATAATTTAAAATTCTATTTTTGATAACTTATTTTAAAACAAAATTATTTTCTTTGGTTTTGGTACATATTTTGTGGATTTACAAAATATAATATTACAATAAAAAAGAAATGAACAATCTAATTTTAATAATAGGCATACATATATATACATATTAAAATTCCTATGTCTGCACTTCTCCATTCGTGTTCTGTTGACATCCGAACAAAGTAATTAATAATGAAAATAAACTTCGAAAAGCTAGGCAACAGCTTTTTTCGAAACCACAAGCATTTGTTGTATGCAACATTAGAAAGAATAGTAACTATAATATAAGCATAATCGGTGACATTAGCAATTACTGAAGCACACAAAGCGCTACGAGGGTTTTGTCTAATGTGCTTTCAAAAATACAAGATAATCTAAGACATATTTCTCATATATTATGCATGCCCCATAAATCTTATTCATAAACATTCAAAGAAATGTCAGTAAAAGTTTGACAGTATACTTCCGATACATATAGTTTTGTTCTAATGGTAAATATTGAAAATAATTTAGAGAAAACTTTGATACTAAGACTTTTCAATCAATAATCAATGTTTCATCGTATACAGACTGTTAGAGTTAACACCCAGGTTGAAAAATGATGTGTCTAAGTGAATGAACAGCAAGAAACATAGATCCATGAAGAAGTATATTATTAATATTCGTGACAAAATCATATTTATATCACTAAAATGCAATAAAATTCAATGAAAAAACAAAATAGATAAACTAATGCGCTTTTTATTACTATAATAAATTATTACAATATTTTTGTATATTATATAAAAATATATTATAATGAACAAAAGACATCGACATTTCCATTACTTTTATAATGTATATTAAATGAAGCAGAAACTATGTTATGCCAGCATGCATCATGCTTGATCAAGCAGTCAAATGTATTTGAGTAAAAAAGAATTTTTGTTATAATTATATTTTTGATGACGATGTATTAAAACAATGTATATTTTGTGTGTTCTATTCTTTGTGATGATCTTTAGTTGACATAACACATGCACGAAAGAGAAAAAATTCTTTGGCATGTTATTTTATTATATTAAGCAATCAGCACTTCAAATGCATATGAAGCTAAAAGGCTCTGCATGAATACAAGACAGATAGCAGCTTCTGACTGTCAATTAAGTTCAACAAAGAAAGTAACTTATGAAAAAAAGCTTTACTCGATGACTCTGTTTTATTTATCATTAATTGGTCTTGTAGGAATTATCATAAATCTGCATAACTATATAGAGCAAACGTCAGTTAAAATAAGTGTATATCACTATCTTCTATGAGTAAGCAATGCTTTATAATTCAATACATATTAACATTTGTAAAATGATTATTTAAACCTTGATTCAGTAGATAATACATTATTTATTTAGAAAAAAAAACATTTCTTATAACAAGATTAATAATAAAAATCAATAATAGAAAAACATCTTGAAAATAATTTTTATTACTGGAATTGCTAAATAATGACTTCGGATGTATTTGTAAATAATTATATGATATAGACTTAGCAAGACCAATTTGATTACGATTAACATCATAAATCGAATAAAAACGACTAAGAAAATAATCACCAAGAATCCATATTAGATTTCCACGATTATCACGTAAATCAACACCTTGAAAAACAGTGTAACATACATAATTATCACCATCTTTTAAAATAAGTAAATATTGTAATACTGATAATGTAAATGTTATATTACCAATTGAAAATTCCACATCAGGAAAATCAGATAATAAACGAGTATAACAATCAACTGCGTACTATTTTATTTTCAAGAAGAAAAACAAAGATCATAATAACTCATCATAAAGAAAATGGTATTATTTTTAATCTTACTAATCCAGTTTCTGGTTCGTATGTTCCACCAATAACATAATTAAGTAATGCTATTTGATTTGATGGTCCAACAATTAATGTTGTACCAGTATCTAAAATAGCACGACAATTTGAACATATTGTTTTACCGTTTGTTTGTACACTATATTTAAAATAAAGACAAATAAAAATTCTTCTTTTTGGAATATTTTCTTCACCTGTTCATCATAAATTCCCAATAGGCAAGTATAATAACATCCACATAAGTGATTGAACCTAAATATCTAGTCAAATCTGCTCCACCGAAGATGAGTTCACCGCCTGGATAAGCATTTGGATTTCTGAGAGAAGACAATTTTCATTTATGATATTTTTAAAATTATCAAATAAAAATAAAACGTACGGATTGAAATAAAAAGAAAAAATTGGATTAGGTATAAGACCTTGTTGCCACATATTATAAAAAATAGGAATCTGGCCAGGTGTACCAAGAGATGGATAAGCAAGACCTAAAACACCATCAAATGTTGACGAACTAAAACCTGATATATTGTTTGCTTGAGCAAATGCTTGATTTAATACAGATAAATTTCCTATCTAAATGCAAATTCGAGTATTAATTCTTATTCAAAGATTAGTCATGCATACTGTCACAGTATCATTAATGAAGATACCATTGACATATGAGCCATCACCGTATGTAATCCTTAAGATAGCTCCATTAGTTCGATATGTATACGAACTATGTAAATCGTATTTTACTTTATTTTCTACAATGTATATTATCCTGAAATTTTGAAAAACAGAATTTTTTTTGTTGAACAATATTCACCACAAGTAGAAAGGCATTGTATTGATGGTACCCAAAAATCGGTAGAACCTGTGTCGAAATTGACAATAAAAGTTTTTCCTGGTATACCGATTGAAATTAAACCAATCCAATAATACTGAAAGAAAGAAAGAAAGAAAGAGATCGATAATAAGCTTTGTAATTTTAATCAGTTGACGTACATTTGCTTGGTTAAATAATGATTCTGTTATTAGATTTGTCTTGCCTCTAAATCGTAATGAACTTTTGTAAGTTAAATTTATTGTTTCGTGTTCTATGCGATTATTTTGTATCGGAATACCTGTCATTCGATAGCATGATATTCTATAAAATGATCATTTTTTAAGAAATAATTTATTAAAAAGAGTTACCGAGATAATTTCGTTGACGATACAACAGTAATCGAAAGCAAGAACAAAACAGTAGATAAATTCAACATTTTTAAGGACAAATACAAAATCTATACGCGACAAAACTCAACATTATTATCAATTGAGACGACGAAAAGATGAAGAAGAACAGGCAAAAATGCTTTTTTATGTTTCATTTAATGTAAAGTAAAAAAACAAAAAGTATTCGATAACATTCTTTAAAAACAACAAGTTGGCTCTTTTATTTGCCCATTGTGATGCAAAAAAGTGCTTAGTGAATCTGGACCCATAATACAATGCAAAAGTGAAAATCGAAGAACATGTCTTACTGTCTACATATAGCAAGCAATCAATGATTTCCTAGTTTGAATTAGAATTTTAAAAAAAGCAAGCGTTAAGCCTTGAATTTATGTCAAAAGTTGCATAGTTTATTCTCATGCGAGAGTGTACGAATAAGTTTTGTGACATAAAAAATAAAATGATTATCTTTAAAGTAAATGAGTTTTATTTTGAAAATCAAAATTAGAAAAATTGATAAAACTCTTTCTATATTCAAGAAGTTTAGAAACAAAAAAGAAAAGTTGTATAAAAATAGTATCAAACATTGTTGTCCAACACAAACGCACACAAGATTTACAGTTTGGACAATTAAACTGATTGATGTTTTCGCTTACTTTTATTATTATAACACAAAGGATTGAAGTATGGGTGTAGATCGGAATGAAGAGAAGACCAGACATTCATCTAAATCATTTGGGCTGTTTTCGTTTAAATGAAGTACAATACTCTTATCTACTGAATCACATAACATACCATTTTCCCCATCGGCAGAAAATTGAAGTAGAGGAATAATACTATAGAATATTAATCGATAAAATTAGCAACGTTGTTAGACTGCGCGCTAGAGTCAATAAAAAAACCCAAACCCGATGAATGTAGGTTTGGATTGTTTTTCTGTTTCATTTCAATCATTTATTTAATCAAACAATTCATTGAATCCTTCTCCACTTGACTATCAAAGGTAGACATCTTTTTATGTTTGTGACGCAACGGTTTATTGATATAGTTCATAATTAATGAGATATGTTTGAACTACAGTAAAATCTCTCTATAGTGAATAATGTTTGGATTTTTCAAAAGTGTCCACTATAGAGAAGTTATGTATGTTCCAAAGATAATATCTTTTTCAAAGAAGTAAACACGTTTCTAGTCATCTGAAGTATTAGAAAGTAATATAATTGGATAGAACACGTTATAACTTTTGTTTTCATGTATTTTATTTTTGAATTTGGAAAAATCAAAAACTATCAAAATAATCGTTGATACAAATCTATTTCTTCCCTTTCAAATCCCGATAAATGTCAGTTAATCGTGATTCAAGATCAAAGATAAGGGCAAAAAGATGAAATTGATAAATCATGACCCTTTTGACTGTCTTTGATCTATGCAATCTTTTGCCCCACACTCAACGTTTTGTCGATTGGATCTAATAGCCTCTTATTCTTAATAATGATAACAAAATCATACAAATGTTTCAATGTAATTGTAATATCCGCCTCGTCTATTCAATGCAAAGGACGTTCTCTTTCTTTACTATTACGACGCATTTTTTTTTGTTATACCGCCGTCCAACCAATACAGAAAAGTCATTATGCTGAATGATTGATGATAGTCATTGCAACATTTATTTTGAATTGATAATTATATCCACTATAAAGAGATTCACCTTCAGCAAAAATCACTTAGTTGGACTACAAAGTGTCCACTAACAAGAGGTGTTCATTATGACAGGTTTTACTGTATTGAAATTCTCTTATTGAGTTGGGTACATGCCTAGAGAACGCTAACAACCACATCCACATTCTTATACATACATTCATCTTTCAATAGACGTCATATTTCACCTTCATTTTTTTGTGTGCTGAAGTTTTTAGTATTGGAAGTTCTCGTGCTTATCATTCCGACTGTCAAAACAAAAGCAAATAAAAAGTGATGAATACATTCACAATGATCGATAGTCAACCAAATAATTAGAAAAAGCACTCGATAAAAACTGAAAAATATTAAAAAAAAGAACAAATCTATAACTCTGATGATTTATCTTTATACTCATGACCAGTCAAACTTGTTAATTATTAGTTTTATTGAAGTATTAGTTCAAAGAAATTATACAGAAATATTTACATTAAGTAATTTGTATTCTTTAAGCTGTATTTATGTTGTATAAGTTAACCACTGAATGCAGAAAATATAAAAATTTCCAGTAGAATGCACTTTTTTTACTTATCTTCTTCAAATTAAAATATTTAACAAAAATAGAATCAATTTGTGATAAAGAAAAAATTAGAATCTAATCGATTTAGATTCAAAAAGAAGAAATAAGTCCATGTATTTGACGAAAAATTTTTTCAGAAGTATTGTTCTATTGTGAATTAATATACAAAACATTTTGAAAAACTGACGTCAAGCATGATCAGATTAAAAAATTTTCACGAAAAGAATGAAATTATTTCAAATCCATTTTTTGTTGTAGTTATCAAACTAGGAATACGACATATGATTAATAGAGAATTTCTAATACGATATGATATCGGGCTTAAGTAATATAACAAAACATATGAGAAAGTTGTGTAAGCAAAAAAAAGTCAATTAGAGCTTGTAAGACATTTATGCAAGTCACGTTTAGATTTATTTATAGAATGAAGAGAGACAAATAATGTTGAGATTTTCTTGTAAACATAATTAATCAGAAAATCTTTTATAAATACAAAGATTAAGAAATATATGACTGATAATGTTGCCATTTATTTTTATCCTACAAATTCTCATTCCCTTTCTTTTTTTATGAAATTATTCAATTGAATATAGTAGCAGTTTATACTAAACATTCTATTTACTTGTAATACAATTTCAAATTGATTTCTTTTTATACCAATAAAAACTAAACAAAAATTTTTATTTCATGTTACTTATTAAATGATATTTTAAAGAAAAATAATTTAGAGATTCATTTTAAAGTCTGCTTTGTTTTTATAATTCAATAGAGCTTAAAAAAACTGAAAGACACACTTTTTATTTCTTCATTTTTAGCAATACATTTTATGAATAAGGTGACACTTAATTAAAAGCAATGCTTGAATGTTTCCAATGTTTTAAGAAAATAGCAAAGATGACATTAAAAAAATTGTTTAGGAAATTCGTTTGGATATACAAACATAAATATAAAATGAACTCTACAAATAAATTAAACTTATAGTAAAACCTTTCTTTGTAGATACTTTTCCGATTCCGTCTCCAATAGAGAACCACTGAAAAGTGAATAATTCTCTTATTTCACGCCATTTTTTAACATGGTCTGAAAATTTGGAAAATTTAGAACACCAAGATCTTCGAAAAATTACCCCACTACAAATTCTTTTTCTTTTAATGTCGAAAGTCAAGATTTACTAAGTTTTTCTATTCTGAAATTTTGGTCATTCATTTTCTTTGGGATAAAACTGTGTTTGCTAATTATGCACTGAATAGACCAGTTTTAAATGGGTGACTATGCGAGCGATGAGTATAGAGTTTAATAAAAAAAAAACAAGATGCCTTATATATGTTGGTGCTAGCGTTGACCATTTGCATTTACCCTGAAAAGTATCTGTATCACTCATTTTCTCAAAAATGAATCTCTTATAACAATGAAAAGGGTGCAAGATTCTGAGCACAAATTGATAGGTCAAAACAAGTTACAAAATATTATGAAAAATACGAAAGACAGTTACTTTTCACGAAAATGATGACTTACCATCTTAATAAATGCATCCAACTCTAGTATGCGACGTACTCTTGAATAGAAGATAGATCAAGAAACGAGAAAAAAAATTGGAAACAATGTTCATTTATATACTCATGAAATGACCAAAATTTTCGACTTCTTTTCAGTTAGAATTGACTGATGTCTATCTTGATTGAAAGATATGCACAAGAAGTTTTATCATTGACTCTTTCAAAAATGATCTGCGAAATTGAATGTTTTCAACAACTGACGAGAGAAGTTACCCTCCACACAGTTCCATATAACATGACCTTGAGAAAATAAATGGGATAGACTGTAGCAACTATAACAATTGTTTATAATAAAATATCCTGTACCCCTCTATTGTAATTATGCTGTTACATGATTAGATTAAATTTTAATAAAAACATTCTTGGTGACCATATCGTTCATTAGTACATAACATATTATTAGAAATATTACTCCTCTGCAACACTCAATGAATAAAATGGCAAATTTCATTCTTAGATTTGTCACATATACAGCAACAGAACAGACTATAAAATGTCTCATCTTATAAAAAGTGACACTTTAAATTTAATATAAAAAATTTTGAGTTCCATTCATTTCTGATTTTGCTAAATTCTTTTGTCTTACTGATCTTTTCCAATTTCATAATGTTTTATTCGTCTCCATGCAGTACAAAAACATATTGAATATTTCTCCTTTTTCTTTTCACAATGAAGTTCAAAGAACTAAAAAAAACATAAGTAAAAGATATTTATAGGCCTATGAAATAATTGTCTGATACTTTACACACTCATACTAATGTTCATCATCATATTCCTGAGAAAACTTCTCAGTGTAAAATGATTGTACGTGATTTCTAGAAGTACACGTTCATGACCAAATACTTTATTAAATTTATTATTTGCATAGTAAGACGTTTTATGAACTTCGAACTAAGCATGATATTGCAGTTTATTTTAATATACAGTAAGGCAAGTTCATTATTATTTCCTGAAAACTTTTATTACTAATGTGATTCATTTGAACTTTGTACTTTTAACAGAGTTGAATTAGCTTGATATCAAATATTATTCTTTATCATAACTGTTCGTCTAAAAAAATTATAAAACAGTTTTCATAACAAAAAAAAAAGATTTTTTAAATAATATTGACTGTGATTTATTGACAAACTAAATAGTTTTTATTTTACGAAATTGATGACATATATATTCAAATAACACAAAAAATTATATTTCGGCCTACATTAAAGGGGTGCATGCAGAAAAAAATCAGATTTTAAAAAGATCTTTCTCTAGATAGAATGCATACGATTCATATCGATATGTCTATTAGCAAATCATTTACATGTACGAAAATTGTTTGTTTTCTTAAAACGGGTAATCGCAAGTCATCATATTTGATTCATGGAAAACATTGAACTATAACAGTGCGATTTCTTTATTTTTTGAAATTATTTCACCTTACGATGAATCACTGTTCTTCTCGTGCGGGTGACACTTGATTCATCTCATTTTCTCGATGTTCCCATCTTTTCTGATAAATGCCCGTCAGAACATATAGTAGTTGTTGACGAAATCGTTTTGATACACATGCATAAATATAGAAGGAGCTCTAAAACAACCCAAAAATTGTTATTCAAAGATTTAACTGCTCATACTCACCGCAAAATATAAATAATAAATTATAGTGCTAATATTTTGGGCAAAATTCAAATCAGAAATATTGATTGACACAGTATTTGGATTCACAGTATCAACCAGAAACAGGCATATGATGTATGGTAAAATAATAATACAATTAAAGACAACTTGAACGAGAACCATTGATGTTAATTGTTTATCTAATTCACGTCGAAACAATGGAACTGTTCGATAAGGTATTTGTCTGACATTCCAATATGCCAAAAATCCAAATAAAACTGTTATACAAATTGGTAAAATAGCAGTTAGAATAAGTAAATAACCATACGCAATGTACAGCTCAAAAACTGGGTTTGTTATTGTACAGATTAATTTTCCTGTGGTAGGTAGTAAACTCAAATTGTACCAAATCAATGTTGGAATGCCGTGAAGAAGCCAAAAAATAAAGAATAATACACACAGACTATAGGCTTTTTTAATATTAAAAAATTGTTGCCAGTGAACATGAAGTGAAGTAGCCAAGAATTGATCGATAGTTGCCAAACACATACATGTATATGATGTCAATGAACATACTTGAAGAAAATAATTTCTAAACTTACAAAAAGCCAATGAATAGTCTGTCCAATCAGCATTAAATCCAGTAATCATAATACGACTAAGTAGACTTAATAGTAATTGACCAATATTAACAAATGACATGATTGTTAAAAAGAAAGCACATGAACTTTGTCGAAATGTTTTAAGACTCATGAAAACAAGGATATTGAGAATTCCACCAAGAACTCCAGTAAAAAGAATGGGTATACCAAGATAGATAGCGATTTCTTCAGTATCATAATGGTGTGTCCAATTGTCTGATGTAGACATTTTTCTTGCGTGAATTCCCTTGATAAAGTGTTGATACTTGTTGTTAAACTAAGAATCTTCTTTCAATGTCTGTTTATATACACAACTCTATCGTCCTGTCACTATATTCTCTACTTCAAGATTTATGCTTAAAATTATTTTCGATGCATGCAATTACAAGGGGCTAAAGTTCATTATAGCTGACATGCTGCATATGACAAGAAAATTACTTTGAAATTAAGAGAAAGAAAATGAAATATCTGGTCATGTTATATGACATGTACTAGCTACACAAATTTTGTTTCATTAGTTTTTTTCTTTTATAAAGAAAGGGGTTTAGCTAATGAAATAATTAAGTTTATAATTGTGCATCACCACGGAAGAAACAGCAGAGACTTCAACCTTGAAGTCTATTGAAGTCTATTGAAGTTCTGTGAAGTTTTATGAAATCTTAAAAAGTCCTATGAAATCTTCTGTTTTTCTCTCGCATATCACATATCTCATCTTGTTGTTGAATAAGATGATGTGTACTGATTCATGCAGTTGATGTCCATCATTATTTTTGATGATTATTGTTGATCGGAGAATTATTAAGACTAATGCAATCATGTAGTAGAATGAAAAGTATCAGATGTAAAATTTGTAAAAATCTTGCAAGAGTTTTTGTTGTTCCATAATCGAACAGAAAAAATTTCTCATGTATTTGTTATTTTAAAGTATTTTCATGATTGATCTTCCTATTGATCATCTGAAAACATCTTGAAATAACCAACAATAAACAGTGTTTGTGTCGTGTATTTAATATCATATCGAACTTTGAACTCATTCAACATGAAATTTTATTTCAGAATAAAACACAGCAGTGTTTTAAGCAAAAATTTATTCGAATATTATTCGAGATCAAAAACAAAGAAAATCACTAAGCAGATACATTGGATTTTTTTTCGACGTTGGCTTTCGTTGATCCGAAAGTTTATTCATATCGATGTGATCGATCAGAAATAATAATTCAGTACATTCACTTGAATATGTTATAAAAATATCAAGAAGAACAATGCATTATTTTCATATCCTAATAGGATTCCTATAAGCTTCAAATTATTTTCTTTCTTTCTCTTTGCAAAAAAAACAGACTTGTTTTTCTCGTATTAACTTCCCAACATTATACTTTTATTTTTCTTTTCTTATAGAAGCAAGAGCATAAAATAAATGCCCTTATAAAAGATAATTCTAATGTTATGACAGCTTAATATACATATGATAACACTTTCTTTCTGATCGTTTTATTTTCAAATGTAATAAACTTTATTGATTTTTCGTTGACAAATCATTCTGAAGTAACTGATACTTTCTATAAATCTTGATAGTTAAGTTCAAACATCATACTAATGTACAATAAACATTCGTTGAATGTTATTCACATATTTAGTAAAAAACACAAGACATAAAATACAAGATAATTCAGATCACCATGAGTTGATAATTCATCAAAATAAATTCTTGTGCAATATTACTCATAGTATTCGTCTTGAACACTAGTATACTCAAAGCATTGTATCTTATTCAATATAGTCTTAGTAAAATTTCATTTATAACATTAAGTCACAAATACAAAAACCAGTTTTGTCATGTTTAATAATAGATTTCAACAAGCCTAACATTTTCCTTTATAATTTTCGTTTTAATATTGTGAAAAATCTCTTATTCGTCAAAATTATGTCAAAGAAAAACTATGCTTTGTATCGCATATACAATGACAATGAATATTTAAAGATAATAATAGAACTAAATGATTTCTAAGAAAATGCATTATTCAATTCAAGTGCTATGCCCATATTGTGAATCATAATATTGAGATTGTAGAAACACAGATAAATGAGTTTCGTGTTCTTTCAACTTCATGTTATAACTATCAAAAGAATAAAGAAGAGATCAGATAAACATGTACGTACTAATTTTTTTTAATATTCTACTTTCAACATTGCGTTTTTCGAATCATTAAAATGAAAATTACAGAGTCTTTTGATGTCATCTTTCAAAAAAGTACAATCAAGTCAAGATGAAACTTTTCTTTCACAACTGATTATTTCATCTTGTACTATCTATATGAGAACGCTATGGAATACTCTGCATTCATCGACTATAATTTTTCTTCTTCTTCATCAAACTAACACCACAAAAAAATCATTTCGTCATTGTTAAACTTTATGTCGACATATGTGAAAACATTTTCTCTCTCATTTTTGCATATAAACTTGGGATGTTTATAACATGATCGACAATTATACAAATAATAGTTTACACGATTTTTGGCAGAGATTGAAATTCCAATGACTTTTTTAGCTCACGGCGAATTTTGTATATAACTCAACTATGCATTTTATCATCAGATGCGAAGAATTAGGCCGAAGACAAGTGTCTAGTTGACTATAATGGAAAGAACAACACTCAAAGTGACGTACTAACTAGTTAGTGATAAGGGCTAACTCTACCCAACTATGGCTCTCTTTTATAACAGTTAAAATGTATTATGTGCTATCAATAGAAGAATCCAGATAGATCAGCTGATTTAAATAAATTCCAAAGAAATAAATACGAGTAGCTTCTCACCAACTTGGTTCAGGTGATGGAATTAAATTAAGATTATGTCGATCGGTTATACTCCAATATGTCATATCTAAAAGATATATAAATAATCTAAAATAATTTAACAAAAAAGGAATTATCAATTGATTATCTTATAATAAAAATGCATAACGATCATAATCAATATAATTCATTTTCAGATTACGATGAAGTGCTTCGATTGAATCTGAATTTCATTCACAAGCATACACATGATATGTATGACCAGAAACAAAAAATGATATAGTAAAATATATGATACCCGCATAATGGCCTACAATTGTTTCTTTAACACATGACACTTGTCTCATTCTCATGTGCTAGGTAGTATTTCCAGCACAAAACATATTTTTATCAACATGGCACGAGAATCTAAGATTAAAGAACTTCTTCATATAAATAAAAACGAAAAGTAA